TGTCTTGTCTCTCTGTCTCTCTCTGTATTTCTGGTGAGCACACGTGCCCTATAGCAAAATCCTTAAAAAAAAAAAAAAAAAAAGTTTAATTTTGACCAGAGAGGGACAGAGTGAGAGAGAGAGAAAGTGAGAAAGCAAGCTGCCAGGTCCAGAATTCGAACCGTGGTCGGCCATGTGGAAGTGCCCTTAACCATCATACCACCTGCCCACCCCTGGCAGCTTGCTTTCTCACTTTCCCCCTTTTTCTGTTTCTCTCTGGTGAGCACACATACCCTATAGAAAAAAATTTAAAAAAAATACATAAAATTAAATAAATAAAAATTTTTAAATAAAAGGAGGTATAGAAAAGTCCCCCAAGCTACACCTGCAACTCGTGTGCACAGGAGCATAACTATGTGTGCAGAGACGTGCTTATGCTACTCCTGTCTCGCTCCGGGCCGTCGGGTAGCTCCGCCCTGGACGAAGGATGGACGCCAGGCTGTGGGGAAAGGTCTGAGTCAGCTTCTCTGCCTGACGCTCCTGCCACTGCCACTGGGCACGTGTCAGCCTTGCCGGCGAGGTCCGGGTGTCCCGGCCGATCCCTACTCTCTGAGGCTGAGTTCGTGGAAGCGAGGGTCTCAGTCTCCAGGGAGAGCCAGCAGCCCCCAAGGAGCAGAGGGCTGGGGAGAGCCCTCCGGGCCCCATTTAGAAGGAGGGCACCCCGATAACAAGATCAGCGAGGGCCCGCGGCCCCCAAGCTCCACACCCCTCCAACCCTCTACCTTTCGGCATGTCCCGTAGGATGTGGAAGACCTCGCTCTGCTCGATGAGGCGCCTGGCCCTGAAGAAGTGCATGCTGGGCGGGAACTGGCGCGTCCTCACCGCCTGCCTGAACTCCTTCTCCTTGAGCGCCATGAGCCTGGCGTTGGCCGCCTCCTCCTGCTCGTTCAGGTCCATCTGCCCCCCCAGCTGCAGCGCCCTCTCCCGCAGGATCAGGATATGCCGGTCTTCTTCCAGGCGCTCGTCTGAGCTGCAGAAGGCCATCACCACTGCCACCAGCAGGAGGAGCGGGAGGAGCAGGGCTCGCGACCAGGGCGACGGGCCACCTGCCAACATCTGGGGGTCTGGAGGACGAAGCTGCTCAGCTGGAACCCTGCCGGCCTGGAAAGGGCAGTGGGGAAGGGAAGGCCTCAGCCGGGAACCCAGGCGGGCTTCTCCCACACTCCCCGGATCCTGGGAGGACGGGTGTTGAAGGCCGCTCTCCAGAGCGCAGAGAAAAGCTGACTTGGCCCACCAGGAGCAAAGACCATGTCCTGGGCGACCTCAGGACAATCTCAAAGTGGTGTCGGTCTTCAACCGTGAGACACTGGGACACTCCTGTTTATGGGCCTGTGTCTTCACCTGCAGAAAGGGTGACTCGGACTAGCTCCCTGGCTCTCACAGTGCTACGCGTGTGGCGTTGGTGACCAAGACTTGATTTTAGGAGATGCACGCAGGGATGTGAATCCTCTCAATTGATCTGTAGTTTTAACATGGGAGTCAGCACGCCAGACCCATGACGTCACGACTACCATTGTTCTGGCTGAATACATAATGATTGGGACTAGCAGATGGTGAAATGGTTACATCGCTGGACTCCCAAGCAGTCAGCTGCGGTTTGAGTCCCAGACCAGGCGGCTCAAAATTCACATGTGTGCACGTGCCCAAAATTCAAGAGGAGAATGGAGGAGAAGGGATGGCAGCATGGCCATCCCTCCACCCCCCCCTCATTTCTCGCTTTCTGTCTCTCTGTCTCTCTGTCTCTCTGGTGCACACATGCGCCCTATAGCAGAAACCTCTCCAAAAATAAAAAATAAACAAATAAACAAAAAGAAAAGAAAAAGAAAAAAATATATTTTATTGGGGCTAGCAGGTGATATAGTAGTTAAAGGGGCAGGACTCCCACATGGCCAATGGCAGTTCGAGTCCCAGACCTGGTGGCTTGCTTTCTCACTTTCCCTTTCTCTCTCTCTCTCTGGTCAAATTGAAAAATAATAATGATAATAAATGAAATTAAATAAATAAATATTTTAAAAATAATTATTTTATTTAACTTTATTTATTTACTTACTAAGTATTTTAAATTTGACCAAAGAGGGACAGAGCGAGAGAGAGAGAGAGCGAGAATGAGAGAGAGAGAGAGTGAGAAAGTAAGCCGTCAGGCCCAGGACTCGAACCGCTGTCAGCTATGTAAGAATCCAGTGCCCTTAACCACCATACAACCTACTGGCTCCAAGAGGGAAATTTTTAAAGAACTATTTTATTTATTATTTTAAATTTTGACCGGAGAGAGAACGATGGAAAGTGTCCCCAACCACCACATCCTCTGCCAGTCCACAAGAGGGAATTTTAAGAAGGAACTGAGGGACTGGCAGGTGGTGCTGTGGTTTAGGTAATGGACTCCCACATGGCCAAACACGGTTTAAATCCCAGACCTGGTCTCTCTCTCTCTCTCTCTCTCCCTCCCCCTCCCTGGTGAGGTGCACATGCAAATGAATAGGGGCCAGCAGGTGGCATGGTGGTAAAGGTGCTGCATTCCCACAAGACTGACCATAAATTGCAAAGAATTGTTATGTCCAAATTCCTGAATAAATGTATGCTTTCATTTCTCTTGGCTGAAAAAAATCTAGCCATGTAATGACTAAGACAAAAGATATGTATACGTTTTCAAAGTGATAGTGAGGTTTTTATTCCTAACAGTCATGCGTGGTAATTCTTCTTTCATATATTAGTCAGCAGTTGCCATGATCAGTCTTCTAATGTTAGACATTCTAATAGAAGTATATGGGGCACATTTATTATATATTTTTAATTTGCCAGAGAGAACATATGCTCACCAAAGAGAAAGAGAGACAGAGAGAGAGAGAGAGAGACAGAAAGAGAGAGATGGAAAGTGAGAACCCTCCCCCAATGATAACTAATCACACTACATTTCTTTCTCCTCTGTTTCTCCTTTTGGGATTTGGGGCATATATGTACGTGAACCTAGTGTATTTTTTCAACCTTTCAGGTCCAGGACCCAAACTACATATTCAGGGGCAGGCAGGTAGATAGTGGTTAAGGCACTGGACTCCCACATGGCTGACCAAGGCTCGAGTCCTGGATCTGGTGGCTTACTTTCTCCTTTTCCCTTTCTCTCTCTCTGACCAAATTACAAAATAATATAATTAATTAATTAATTAATTAATTCCTTTTGTCTTAACAAATGGAGGAACTGATAGCCACGTCCTCACGGTTCTGGTAGGGGCCGTCCTTCCCAAGTCAAAGACCAGGCTCTGAAGACCCTCCATCTTTATAAGCCCCCCACGCCCCTCTCAGGCTGTGACACCCTCGCCACCACCCCAACGCCCCTCCCTGCATGCTCCAGCTGATGCCGCTTCCCTTGTCCCTCTCTTCCTAGTGACACCTGTAGGCCACCAAGAGCCAGTCTCCAAGTGCATCCTCTCCAGAAGGACCGAGAACACCTGTGTCCCCACAGCTGGAGGCGCCCGGCTGCCGGACAGTTTATCTGCAGCTGGTTAAGGCTAGCCAGGTCGCACAGGCTGGGTCACATGGAGCAGGCGGCCCTGCGAGCCCCAGGGCAGTCCTGGTGCCCTGCCGGCACACTTCCCTTTTGCCCTGCAGCCTGCACAGCCCGAGAGGGCCTTTGTCTCCAGACCTAGAGAAGAGCCCCCAGCACCTGTGGCTCCATCCTCAGCCCAGGACCATTTTCAAGCCCTTCCCGGGAAGTGTCGCGCCAGCCACTGTGGGGTGGGGAAGGGCGTGGCAGGTAAACAGGGCAGGCGCCTGCAATCTCCCAGCCCAGCTCCACCCAGACCCCCAGGGACCCCAGCTACCTCGGAGCAGCTCCAGAAACAGCAGCCTGTCCCCGGGTACCCCAACAGCTGTGTGGGAAGCACTGGAGAGCTCCCCGGCTGTTCCACTTCCCATGGGTGTTCTCACTTCCCTACAGCTCTGGGGCCAGCCGCGGTGACCCGTGTGCACTCGCAGGTCTCTCCGCCTTTGCGGTTGAACCACCCTGTCCCTGTACCTGGGGGTCTCCTATCTGTGTGCTGGGGTCCTGTGTGTGTGTGTCCATGTTTGTGAAGCCATGTGTGCACACGTATGTGCACACATGTGTATGTGGGGAGTGTATGCGCGAGCGGGCTTACGTGTGTTTGGAGGACGCGCTACCCACGTGAGTTCCCCGAAGGTCCAGAACACGGGCTTGGACCAGCAGCAGTAGCACGAGGCTCTCTGGGAGCGTCCAGCACAGCACAAGGGCAGGGCAGGACGGGCAGGGCGCATATGCCAGGGAAGAAAATGAAGGTGTTTGGGGAAGTCAGAGCCGGTGGGTGTGCTGGGGAAGCAGGCGGGAACAAAGGCTCCGAGCAGTGGGGGGCCGGAGCCCCAGAGCCCAGACCTCGCCTTGCACTCTGGGCCGCTCTTGCCTTGTTTGCCGTGTGGTCGTGGCCATGTCGTGTAAACTCCACGCTGCAGATTCCGGATCTGAAGATAATGGGGACACAGTATCCTCCATGTGCCCGCCCTCAGCATGGTGGTCTAAGCAGCTGATCCCACGTGACCGACCACGGCTTGCGTTCCCTGGGCCTGTGCGCAACTGTGCCCAAACTCTCGAGAGGAGGGAGGAATGGAGGAGAAAGGGCTTTTCTGTCTCTCTTCTCTCTGGAGCGTGCAGACACCATCCAGCAAAATTAAAAAAATAAAGTGCCTACCTATTGTGAGGGTTAAATGAAGCATGCGTGCGAAGTGCCCGGTGCCCACACGTGTCACCGCGAGATGCATCCCCCAGGCCCGCCTGGGACTGAAAACCACAGGACAGCACCAAGCCTTCTCGGTGTCCACAGGGGTCTATGTCCGGCCGTGCACCCCACTCTCCATTCTCACTAAGTCTTGCTCCCCCAAATCACCCACCAACACACAGCTTCTCATCCTGCAGCTCCCGCCCATCCCGGAACCTCGGACTCCTTGTTGCTATTTCATTTTTTCCAAAAAGCGAAAATGTCATTCATTTAATAAACTAAAAGAAATTCAAAAGTGAACGCTTAGTGGCGACATTTGCAGTCCTTGGTCAACGGCAGGGGAACAGAAGGCCCGGAGGCAGGGAGTGAAGACTAAGAAAATCTACTAGATCAGAGGGGAAAGGGGATTACTGACTTTTTAGTTCCAGATCAGAGCTAAAGATAAAGTTGCTTTCCGGGAACTTTGGCTAGGTGGGAGCTGACCCTGGTCCGCGTCCGCGTCCGCATCCGGAAGGCGGCTCTGGGCCCCAGGTCGTGCTGGCAGGGCTGGCCACTGGAGCACCAGGCAGACACCACCAGGCCAGGAGCTGGGCCAGCCCGCAGCAGAGGCGGCGTGGCTGCGCACATACCTGGACAGGGGATCTGCCACCAGGAGTCCAAGCAGGGCCACGGAAGGCTGAGCGGCAGGCTCCGCAGACCGCGGGGACAGGGCCACTCGTCCAGAGCCAGCCTCTTGGCCTGTGGTGGCCACAACAGCCCCCGGAGGCCTTTTGTAGCGGCAGTCACCTCTGGGTAGGGGCCGCCCCTCTGGGTGTGGCTCTGAGCATTGTCCGGCAGAGGAGGTGTGATGCATGGCCATGGGGCGGCAGGTGTAAGGGGAGGCCGCTCTGCCGACTGCTGCCAAGCGTGGAGACGGCAGAACCAAGACTCCCTGTTCTCTGCCCATTGTGGACGGCAGCCTCGGGACACGCCGGGCATTGTGTTCTGAGTCCGGGGTCAGCAGGGCAGAGAGGACCCGGCCATCTTCTGGTGACCATCCAGCTAAATCTCAAAGGAGGGGCGCCTGAAAGGCGGGTGTGTGAAGACTCCAGAGCTGGAGACTGGAGAGGTTTTCAGAATTAAATAGTCTACAGCTACACAGATACTGAGAGGGGTTTTCTTTCGTTCCTCTTTTATTATCCTATTATTATCATTATTTATTATAAAATAGTATTTAACTTTATTTATTTATTTTGACTAGAGAGGGACAGAACAAGAGAGAGAAAGTGGGAAAACAAGATGCCAGGTCCAGGACTTGAACCGCTGTCGATCTTAACCACCACACAACCTGCCAGGTCTTCTTTTTTTCTTTTTTTTGAGAGAGATTTTTGCCATAGGGCTTGTGTGCTTTCCAGAGAGACTGAGAACTCACCCTCCAGGGAGAATGGCCATACCACAATCCCTTCTCCATTCTCCTCTCAGGATTTTGGGCACACCCGCACACGTGGTCTGGGGCTAGAACCCAGGTCTCTGGGGCTAGAACCCAAGGTCTGGCAGCACCTTACTCACTGCGCCACCTGCAGGCCCTGGAGGGGTTTGCGTTGAACTAGCTCTTTCTCCCCACCAGTGCCGGGACTTAAGTGACTCGTGCAGTCGCTGGGCAACCTGCAGCAGAGAGCAGGGCCGTCCCTACAGAGTCGAGTTAAAGTGTATACACGCCGTTCTTAGAAGAGAGAGAAGAGGCCCTGGGTCAGGGGTAGTGTGGTGGTAAGGTGCTGGATTCCCACAGGGCAACCAAGGCTGGAGTCCCAGACCCAAAGGCCTGAAAATCACAACAAATAGGGGCTGGCAGGTGGCATGGTGCTCAGGGCACTCAATTCCCACATAGCCAACTGCGACTCAAGTCCCAGATGTGACAGCTTGCTTTCTCACTTTCCCTCTCTCTCTGGTCAAATTAAAAATAAATAAATATGTGACAGAGTGAGAGAGAGAGGGAAAGTGAGAAAGCAAGCTGCCAGGCCCAGGACTTGAACTGCGGTTGGCCATGTAGGAGCCCAGCACCCTTAACCACCGTGCTACCTGCTGGCCCCTAATAAAATAATTCTAAAAAAAAGTTTTATGGGAACCAGCAGTTAGCGTAATGGCTATGTCGCTGGACTCCCACGTAGTCGACCGCGGTTCACATCCAGGACCTGGTGGCTTAAACTCACGCCGGGCACGTATGCGTGCATGCCCAAGATCCTGAGAGGAGAATGGAGGAGAAGGGATTGCGGCGTGACCATCCTCCCGGGGGGGTGATTTCTCACTTTCTGTCTCTATGTCTCTCTCTGTCTGTCTGGCAAGCGCACGAACGCTATAACAAAAACCTCTCCAAAAAAAAAAAAGTTTTATAACAAATAGATAAATGCATGTTTAAACAAAAATAAGATGCTCTGACCCTCAGTTAAGAAAACGGACATGGGGGACCAGGAGGTGGTGTGGTGGTTAGGGTGCTGGACACTCCCACATGGCTGACCACAGTTCACATCCTGGACCTGGTGGCTTGGTTTCTTTCTCTCTCTCTCTGGACGAATTAAAATAAATGAATGAATAAATAAATAATTATTTTTTTAAAAAGGAAAGAAAGCGGACATGGTCATTGCTGAGGCCCGTTGGGAATGACCTGCGTACTTACACGGTACTGGGCGGCTGGAGCGTCATGGCGAGAAGCACAGGATAAGCGTCAGGACTTTGCCGACAGCCCAACGGGAGCTCATTTAACGGGGCTGTGAGTTACAAGGTCGCCGAAGCTGCTCCCATTTGACAGAGGAAGCACCTGGAGGGTTGGCTCTGGCCCCAAGCAGGTCTCTGGGCTGGCAGCAGATGGAGCAGACTCGCCCAGCTAGGTTCCGCTGCGTCCCTTCCCTCACCTTCCCTCCTCACAAGGGTACGAAGGGACACGGACCGGGGTGGGGGGGGTTGGGGGGGGCTGTGCCAGGGCACCTCAGCACAGGGCAGTGAATCCCATCTGCAAACACAGGACATGGGGACAGGCATGACCAGGCAGGAATGAGGCAATTTTCCAGATACTGAGAGACAGCGTGCGTGCGAGTGTGGGCATGCACGGATTTACCCAGAGAGACAGAGCCAGAGGGAGGAAGGGGTTTCCCTTCTCCATTTCTTCATCCTGTCGGGATTTGGGGCGCACATACCAACAGGCCCAGCGTAATTTTCTTTCAGGTATTATTTATTTTATTTTATTTTATTTATCATTATTGATATTTTTGAATGTGCTATGGGGCACACATGCTCACCAGAGAGAGAGACAGACAGAGAGACAAAGTGAGAAAGCAAGCTGCCTAGTCCAGGACTCTAACCGTCATCGACTGTGTGAGTTTTAAGCCACCGGGTCTGGGACGTGAACCGTGGTCGACTACGTGGGAATCCAGTGACATAGCTATTACGCTAACTGCTGGTCCCCTGTGTGCCTAAAATCTTGAGAGGAGAATGGAGGGAAGCGATTATGGCATGGCCATGCCCCCTGGGGGTGATTTCTTGCTTTCTGTCTCTGTTTCTCTCTCAAGCACACACTATAGCAAAAATCTTCTCTAAAATAACAACAATAATAATAAATAAAATTAAAAACAAGTAATTCTTAGGACCAGCAGATGGTGTATTGGTTATGTCGTTGGACTCCCAGATGGCCGACCATGTTTCAAGTCCTGGACCCGATAGTTTCAAAATCACACAGGGCGCATGTGTGTATGTGCCCAAGATCCCAGGAGGAGAATGGAAAGGGATTGCTTCATGGCCATTGCCCTGGGGGCGATTTCTCACTTTCCCTCACTAAGTCCGTCTCTCTTTTTCTCTAGTGAATTCACGCTCCCTAGGGCTAAAACCTCTAAAATATAATAATAGGGGCCAGCAGGTGGCATGGTGGTTAAGGGCACTGGACTCCCACATGGAAATAGCGGTTTGAGCCTAGGACCTGGTGGCTTGGTTTCTTACTTTCCCCCTCTCCCTCTCTGGTCCAATTAAAATGAATAAATAAGTAAAATAAAGTTGAACAAATAATTATTTAAAAAATAATAACAGGGACCAGCAGTTGGTGTAATGGCTATGTCGCTGGACTCCCATGTGGTTGACCACAGTTCGAGTCCTGAACACAGTGACTTAAACTCATGCCGGGCACATGTTGCGTGCGTGCCCAGGATCCCGAAGG